TTAAAATTCTATGATGATCGTAGTTAATATCGGCCATTAAATAAAGTATAGGGCGTGTTCATGTTCTAGAATTCTCTATCGGTTGGAGAGATGACAATACTCTATGGGAGAGAAACAATTATTAAAAGAAATACAAAGAAAATCAGATCATTATTTGATAGTGATTCCCACCATATTATTCGTTTGTATCTGAAAGCCTCTTCTACTGGCCAAGATTTTTCAGCTGCCCTCCACCGTTATTAACTATTGGCTCTTTGGGATGTAGTGATGTCACATGACGACAACCTACATCAATTGTCAGGCCTCATTTAGATATTGTCTTAACCAATATCTAAATGGTTAAGACACAGCAAGAAGGTCCTGGGTTTGATTCCACCTCCAGGCCTTTCTGTGTGGAGTTTGCATGTTCTCTCTGTGTCTGCGTGGGTTTTCTCCACGTGCTCCGGTTTCCACTACCGCTAAAAACATATACAATAGGTCTGAATCTAATAAGTGAGTGAATGGATGGTGTTGATGCGCCAGTGTGTTCAGCGTCTCTCTTCCGTCATCACTGTGTGTGGAGAAAATATCTGAACTCTGAACATTGTCTAGCGCTTTGGGTGGTCTGTAAAATGCGATATATAAAAAAATATTACTGCTTTGTCTGACCCCAGTATCAGTCTAGCATTTAGTTTTGTGTCAACACTTTTACTGCATCCCATGTGTTTGTATCTGGTCCAAATACAACTGTGATTCTTAAATGTTCTGTAAGTAGTTTGATACTGCTGACCTCTTTGGCCGCACAAATCCTCATGACCCCGTTGGCTCCAGTCTCTTCAGAACCACTGATGACGAGCTCACATATGCTCTTCACCGCATTCAATCTTCAATCTTTTCAGTCGACAGTGCCTATTGAAGACTGTTATTGAGGCTAAAGACATAGGACTAATTATATGTCGCCCGTCCACATTAACTAAGGCTACAAGGTTACTAATCTCAGACTGTAATCCTTTCTATTCTTAGGTGTGGATAGACTCCAGATTACAGGCGGTGTGCGAGTGGAAGTCTATTAATTATGTTATGTGGATGTGCTGGCTGTGCACTATACAGTAAGCACTACACGCATTTCTAATTCTGTCTCAAGGACCAGTGGACTTATGTATTGTTTTGAGGTATCGTTTTATGTATGTAATCTAATATCTCAGATTGATTAAAAGGCTTGCTTATATATTCTGAATATACCATCATTCTGTTTTCAAGTTGAAAGAGTTCATAAAAAATGTATCTATATATGTCTCTATATCTATCTATCTATTTATCTATCTATATATCTCTATGTCTCTATCCTGAATCTTTTTTGTAAATTTAAAACACCTTAAAAAAATGGCCTTTTTGTGGTTTTAAGTTCAAGAATAGTTCATGCAATTACTTTCTTAAGAAGATGTATCATTTGTCTTGGCCACGGGGTTAGACCTGGACTTGATGCAGTGAAGACAGTGTGTGCCGCTACGTTCTTTACACTCGAAAAACGCAGGCAGAATTGTGTGCATAAATATTACAAAGCAACAGTTGGCCGATTAAATATTTCTTTGTATAGCCCCAGGAGTCATTACACAGCCAATAGAGCCAGAGCCCTCTTTTATCATTATTATTTATAAGAAAACAGTCTTAATCTTTCTCTATGGCAAAGATTGTTCCCACTTTAGAGGCCACAACTACAGGGCCTCAGCTTCAATAAGGCTCCAGCCATTTGTTTGTACTTCAACTTCCTGAAACCCATTCAATTTCAATGTTAGCAAGTTGTTTTCGAGCAAAAAGCGGGGGAGAGTAAAGGGTTAAGTTTTGTGTTGCATTGCAATCAAATCAAAAGTGGCTTATTTTAGGATTTTTTTTCTATTTTGAATTTGTGCTTTTGCCTCCATCCTCAAAGGTCGATGGCATTTACTGCACAAGCACTCGGCGCTCTGAAGAGGCTCCTGATTACTGCTGCTGTTATTTTTCATGTCACCCGCAGAGGAGCTTTGAGAGGGTCAAATGTCCTGTTTTTTTTTCAGAAGAACTGCTTCTGTCGATTGCAACCTTGATTTTCCGTTTAAACTCGTGATATTTGAATGTATTTTTGATAATGCCAACGAAAATGAGTGGATAATTTACACAGAGGAATACACTTTTATGTATTCACAAAACAGGATGATATTATAAAACCAAATGTGTGCACAGATATGAGGGAACACTTTGTCGAACCCGTTTTAGACCGAGCTGAGAAGAAGAATGAACGGGGCGAGCAAAAAAGGTCTTGGTAACTTCACCTGGCACCAGTGCTCCGGGTGTTAAATAAGTCCTGTAATAAGTTCTGATGAATTAGTTGAGGGTCCAGACTTTTTAGAGGAGCAAAGTACAGTTTCCCAGTCAAAGTTTCTTGATCTGCCTGAATCATTTAAAATAATAAAGGGCTAAGATGATCCCAAAAGGTTGCAAAAAAAAAAAAAAAAAAAACTCCAGCGGGATCCCATTAGAGCCAGAGGATTTATCTCTGCTTTTTCTCTGTAAGTTCAATCAGCATAATGGGACAAGTAAGTTTAATCAGATCTTCAGCTTGCCTTGGATAAATGCCATCATTCTCAACTATCAAGCATGCAATTTAGAATTTAAGGTAGAAAAAACAGAAAATAAACGGACCACAAGATTTCCATAGTAGCACTGTCTAAAATTCTGAAGAATACACTGTATAATGGATTTCCACATAATACTAAACAGTTGCAGTAAATAATCAAAAATCTACGGTTTGCAGTGTATGCAGTCCAGGTTTTTCACATGAATATTTCAACAAAGTCAAGTGGACATGAGAGAAGCAGCAATTATTCTATGAGTCAGTTGTAGAATGAAAATACCTCAATACAATTTTTCCAATATTTTCCACATAACTTTGGCTTGGATCCTTTTTGCGGCACCCTGCTTTCTCTATATCCTCACCCTCAAGTTACTGTAAGGCATGGAGCAGAAGAAAACTCGCATTGTCCGACAGCTGAGATGGCACTAGACAAGCTTCAGGGCAGGAACATTGCAACTCCACAGATGCCAAGAATGTAGATCGTATGTGGGTCAAAGAAACAGACAATTTCTGCTTCCTGTCAGTTCCTCTGCACTGATATAAGAGACACATTTGCAGCCGACGTAGTGGATTCTTCCTGTTTGGTCTGACAGGCTGACTTCACCTCTGAGCTGCTAATGCTGCTGGGAATGGCGTAACTTTGGCTTTGTGTGGGCTGCTATGAATTCCATATAGTCTGTGAACGAAGCCGGCGGAGATGGTCATTCATGCTAAAAGTCGAGCTGAGCAATAACACAAATTATGCTGGGTCCGTGTGTGTGTAAGATTGTTTTACCTAACCTCAATTATAATTAATTTTGGATCAATTGCATCATTTTGACCATATAGAATAGACCATGTAGAACTATGCAAATTATTAAATGTAAAAAGTCTTATGTTTAAGGCTAGTTTAAGTGATTCATCAGTACTAGCTTCTTTACATGTTTGTCTTGGTAAAAGAACTTTCTAAGCCTCTAAGTAAGTATCATTCAAAAACAATATAATTAAAATAGGCCGCGTTCTCAGTATAACCAATAGCAAGGGATTTTGTCCGTGTATCAAGGATTTCAATGTCTAATCAGGGAGCAGTGGGGTAAGGTACATTGTCCGGTATGTGTCTGGTATGTGTCTTGATTGTTGGTAATCAGAGGGGCAGATGGCACAGATCAGTAGCCTTGTCTCCACCAGTCTACCCCAGGGCAGCTGCGGCTAGTATCAGTTCACCACCATTGTGAATGTATAATGCCAGAGTGATTTTTGAGCGTCCAGAAAAGCGCTTTTGAATCTGTAAACAAGCCACAAATGTCATCGAACAAATACATTCTTACATCAATAATACCACGAATAAAAGGCGTATTTTAGGCGTGATTAAATATCGAATTGTGGCTTCATCTGTGTGCAGCTGTAGAGTCATATTTACATAATATACTAACTGTTTACGCTGCACTGAGCTGTACTTGTTTTTGACATGCTTGACTTTTACAGTGCTTGCCTTTAATTAAGAATCTCAGCAGGGGCTACGACAAGACTCCCGTTTCATTATTCAGAGGTTGAAAAAACAGCACATCCCATCCCTACACTGACAACCTTTGTATCAACCAGCTATCAACAATATTGATTTAGTATAATTCATATTTTAGGAGTGGATTTTATTTCCACGTTGGAACTCTTGAGTTGTTCCTGCGGTGAAGCTGTTTTTCTTGGCCTCTGCCGATCTCACCTTCTGGAAAGATACATGACTTTTTTACTGCAGTTTTCCAGTGTAACATTTACGCTCCCATGTACAGACAAGAAAGAGCATGTGTCCTGTCTGAGGAACAGCATCCCATAGGACGGACACGCAGCTTTGGACAGCAGCAAGAACATGGCCAGCCACTTGTTTTGTTTTCCCTCACAAACAGCTGTAAAAAAAAAAAAAACACATTCTGGGACACTTGTATTTCTTAGGGCTGTCTGCTCAAATGTTCTGTAATATGTCCATAATGCATTGTGTCAATAATCTGCTTTGTTAGGCGTTTTAGGGCACTTATTATTATTTTATATATTATTGATCTGTCCAGAATTCTCCACAGTATAAACCATCTCGGTTTTCAAGTAAAGCAGCTAATGCCTCTATAGGCTACAGTACATGTGCAGGACTACAGACCAGATCTGTGGAGAGGTTAGGATGCCACAAACGACTGTCTCTAAAGCGGTGTGATCTGGGTTTAAAAAAAAAATATGAAACACGATATTTTTTCTCCATTTTGACATTGACATTGACTTCAATGAACGGGTATATGTGTTGTATTAAAGCCAATCAGAATGAAAGGCGAGCACTCATGAATGTAGTAAAAATGTTAGAATTCCTTGACCTCCTGAACCAGTTCAGATGAAACTAACAGTCTCTGAAGTCTTCCTTTCTTTGTCTCTGTTTCTCTGTGGCGCACAGATTGGACTGCTGGTGGCCTGCTATCAGGGCTTTGTGGACGTGGTCATCGCTCTGTCCCAGTGTCCGTATCTTGACCCAAACTGGCAGGACACTGAAGGCAACACCGCTCTCATCACTGCGGCTCAGGCAGGTGAGATACAGTACAACACCAGTCTCTGAAAATAAGACAAATCACACACTTCTCTCACAACTTCTTCTCTATGCTGTTTTATCTGACGTCTCAATCTGTCCTGGTTTTAGGTCACGTAACAATCACTAACTACCTTCTGAATTACTACTGTGGTCTGGACATCGAGAGGAGGAACTGCCACGGCTTCACTGCGCTCATGAAGGCCGCGATGCAAGGCAGGGTGGAGTGTGTACGCGCTCTCATGTTAGCAGGTAACTGGGACATATTTATCACGAGAAACTGAAGCCTCCATGCAAATAATAATAGTTTTTATCTTTAAATCTTCATAACTCTATCATATAGGAGCATCGTTAGACGCAAAGGACTTCGGGCGAAACTTCACAGCACGAGAATGGGCTTTGTTCACGGGTCGCTATGAGACGGCGTGGGTGATGTCACGACTGATGGAGCGGCCGTGTCCACTGCAGTATAAAGACACATACAGGTGTTTATATTCACGTGTTGGTTTCTTCCATACCAGAAGATAGTGATGCTATTACGTCACTAGTGTGTAACTTAAGATCTTGTTTTGGAACGCTTCCTGTTTTCCTACTAATCATCCAACATTGAAATGTCCCCACTGTGGGTCGAATACAGGTTCAAGGTTACATAACAGAGTGAAGATTATTATTTATTGAAGTCCGAGGAGTGAGATGTAGCACTAGATATGAGCCTAGACCTGGTGGTGAAGTCAATGAACAACAATGTGGATGATTTTCCCACTGAGTTTAGAGGTTTTTCCTTGCTGATGCAGAATGGTCTGTAAGTCTTGTGAGGTCAAACTAAAAGGACATTGGTGATGATCCAGGACACTCAACATTCAACCACATTTATGAACATTTATCAACACTTATGGACATTGGACAACTGCCCAATAGGGACCAATACCAATGTGTTGTGTTTGAATGAGATAACTGCTGTTGTGATTTAGCGCTATACAATAATAAAGGTAATAAACTGATGCTGACCTGGAGAAAGAGAAAAGGGTGTATGCCTGAAGGTTCACTTATGACGTAGGAGAAGCCAGCAGAGAAGTGAAAGATTTTACAGAAGTCTCACTACCGAAAATCACCTGCTCATACATCTGCATACTCTCATTTGAAGTCGGGCACAAGAATAATAATGTAGGTTGGCTCTTGAATTAAAACAACTGCACTATGAATAAAAACCACACCTGCCCCTAACTGCACTTTTCTCAGAGCCGCCCTCATGTTGTAAAAGTCTTGCTTTGTGTTGCAGTCTGGAATGGCCTCCGCTGGCGCCCCTCGTGGCCAGAGCTCGGGAGCCCCGCGGCTGTTTGAAAAGGCTCTCGGACACAGTGAGGAGCGCCTTCAACATCGCTAACGTCACCAATCCGGACGACGAAGGAGTCATGGATCACATGGTGTCCATAACCACGGCCATGAGGAGCCCGTTTGTGGCTGTGGCCTGCCATACAGTACGCACAAATCCACAAATCCTAACTTGTGATTTCTTTTTTTTTTTAAACGTCATTTGTGGGCTTATGTAGCTTACATTTGGTCGCAGTAATTTTGGATTGTGTTTTGGAATAATAAAACTATTAGCATACCGAGAACAATGTCTTTTAATCAGAAAATGTGTCTGTAATTAAAAAATATGCCATTAACCCTCTAGGCGCCATGGTCGATACGTTTGTGGAGCTGGATTTCTAATTCTACCGTTTGCAAACGAAAGCACATCTAAGTAGCCATGCATAACACTCAAATAAGATGCAAATCAACGCTATCATTTGACAAATAATAAGAAAATCCAGAACCGATTTTGGAAATTATAATACGAATGCAAAAAGGTTTTGAATAATTACTTTAATACATAGTTTATAGCAAAAATAGATAGTAGATAGTTTAACACAAATAGAACAACATTGAAGGGTCTCACCACAATATAGTTCTCCTGTTGGCTCCATCTCACTCCACAACTCCTCACTGCCTCTTGACTCAGCTTTCAATCAAAGCTGCAACCTCCCTCCTCCCTTATCACCTCAACAGTGTGACTTCAGCTTTAACCATCACCAATTTAATTTACAAAATCTCAAATTCTCTGCTGTCATAGGTCATGTGAAAGTTCTACAGTGGTCTAATCCAGGCATGTCCAAACCCACGCCCGGGGTCCACTTGCGGCCCTCAGTGTCGTTTTATGTGGCCCTCTGCCTTGCTAACCCAATGTGGTCTTTGAGATCATATACACAAGTTCTCTGTGTCATCCATCCAACTTCAGCTCAGCAATTACAGACATGTCATAACTCATTCGAAAGCCCAGTATGTATCAGTAATCAGTTGTTGACTTGTGAGCTGATGAGATGGTAAAGATGTGTCATTCAGCCAACTTCAGCTCCGTTATAGATCATTCAAAAGCTCAGAACAGCCTGGACTAGTCTGCTGAACTAAAGTGGCCCTCTTACTAAAATGTTTGGACACCCCTGGTCTAATCCGTCTCTTCAACAGCATACCTTACTATATGTCTGCTGAGTCAAAGTGCCAAACTCATGCAGTAACCAATATACTTACATCCCATCTTAACTCAACGATTACCATTCTACTACATCCTTTTGTTGTTTCAGATTGGAAACAAGGATTTTGGTATATCATTTTGTAACTCCACATGTGTCTCCTGTTGCTGCAGGTGTGTCCTGACAGCCCCCCCGCAGTGGGCAAGCGCCGCTGTGCCGTTCCAGAAATCGTCCGACAGCAGCGCGTCAAAGAGCTCCTGACCTCGAACCCGGACCGCACCGACACCCACATCAAACTTTTCCAGAACTCCCGCGTCACGTTGGTCCCGAAACCCACAGCTGACCGGCGCTCCAGTCTCCAAGTGCAAAGCGTGGCTCCGAGACCACGCAGCTCCAGCTTAGTATCGCTCTCCAACACACTAGAACTGAGAAGGACCAGTCTGCTGCCTATGCATATGATACTGAGGAGGAGCAGCGTCAGGCCTGGCTTTAGTATCCCCAAAGTACGGGTGTCCAAAGCCCCTCCGACTACGTATGAGCCTGAAAAAATTCACCGGAAAAGCAGCTCTAAAGACGGAGGAGGACATTTCTTGCAAATACCAAAGTGGAGGTACAAAGAGCTGAAAGAGGAGAGGAAGAAAGCAGAGGAGGCTGAGAGACGGAGGCTGGAAGCTATTACTAAAAGACATCTTGGCACAGGGAAAAGGAACTGATACAAGCGCTTAAAATGACAGAATGAAATGACCAAACTTTATTTTTTACCCTGGAGAAATAGCTATGCATTTGCAAAATTGTTCGTTTAGGCTGTTACTTGCTCAGGGAGGGGATTGAAGAGCCAGCAGTGTTCCAAAAAAGTTAAATTTGTCTATGGCATCTGTGGGCTCAGCTTTATATCCTTAAGGTGGATTCTGGTGTATTTTCAGAATAAATGTTGCATCAGCATTAGAAGTGCACAATGTTTGCCCCTCATGATGTTTGTACCTAAGGGATTCTACTTGAAATGTTTTAGACAACTTATTGTTCATATTTATTGCTTTCTAATGGAGTCAAAATGGCCAAGTCTCTTTTTTAATGCTTTGAGCGCAACAAGCAGAAACGTGAATCAAACTGGATCACTTTCAATCTCTGCTAGACTACTTTCTATTTTTACAATACGATGTTTTAATACTGTAGATGCTACACTTGTTTGCAGAGGACAATACACCATTTTTGACTCAAATAAAACAGGGAGCAATATTTTAGTCGCAGCTTTTATGAAGCCATGAATGTAAAATGCTTTTTTTTAAATTTTCTAGAGATGTTGAACCTTATTTTTTTTATGATACTAAATTAAATGTTTTCTATCTATGAGGTGAATTTTAGAGGTATTTTTGGTGTAACACTGAGACTGTTTTGCCTAATATTTTACAAAATGCAAATAAACACTGGTCTGATGCTTTAATTTAATTGTTTTGAATACGGTGGCCTTTGAACGCTATAACAAGTACAATACAATACAATACAATACAATTTATTCTTGTATAGCCCTAGGTCACAACAGAAGTCATCTCAGAGGACTTAACAAAACCATTGAAATCACCAACACAGGTCAGAGAATCAACAGTTAAAACACATGAAGAATATAAAGCACACACAGAAGAAAATGTCCATACATGTTGTAGAATGCTAAAGTGTCCTGATCATCACCAATCCTTTCTGTTGGACACTAACTGTCCAACAAGACCCTCCTGCATCGACAAGGAAAAACTCTTAAAAAACCCAGTGGGAAAAAGTGAGAAACCTTGGAGGAGAACTAGGGAAACCCACAGGGAGGGAGACCCATATGAGAAAGGGATCCGCTCCTCCGGACGGACAGGCTAATGATCTAGGACCTAAGCTAGCTACAGAACGTGGACCAGTGGACGCTGAACGTGGACAGGTCCGGTGCAGGACCAAAGCACTCCCAGGCGGGTCGGGCGGGGCAGTCCGCAGGTGTAGATGGAAGAGGCCAGGCTCAGAGATCCCGTCATCGTACCATGAAACAGACAATGGGACAACGGGTGAATAGCAATGAACAAACTACAGTCAGAATCCTAAAAATGCTAAACAGATAAAGTAGGAAGGAGGAGAGGATAGTGCTCAAGTTACCATACTTCTCCCAGCAAACTGACTCCCTATGCAGCTTGACTAACACTCTGAGGAGTTTAACCTTCTCCGAGTCTTACCTTCCTAGCCATATGCTAAACTAAAGAGGACTGTTTTAAACCTAGCCTTGAATAAAGAATAACATACAGCATAATATATAACATAATATACAACATAACACAATACATTATTGAATAATATATAACATAATATATAACATAATACAGCATATATATATAATATATACACTACATATTATATATTACCTAATTATATGCTAAATTAAAGTAAAGTGCTTTAAGCCTGGCCTTGAATGTGGAGACCGTATCTGCTTCCTTAACATAAATGGGAAGCTGATTCCACAGTAAAGGAGCTTGGTAGCTAAATGCTCTGCCACCAACAGTGACCTTTGAGACCTTAGGGACCACCAGACGTCTGGCGTTTTGTGAGCGCAACGCTCGACCTGGTTGATACGACACTAACGTGTCTTGGAGATAAGAAGGAGCCAAGCCATTTATGGCTTTATATGTTAAGAGTAGGATTTTAAACTTTATTCTGTACTCCACAGGGAGCCAGTGGAGTGATTTTAACACCGGAGTTATGTGCTCCCTCCTTTTGGTACCTGTTAAGATCCTAGCTGCTGTATTCTGAACGAGCTGGAAGCTCTTCAAAGAGGCTTTAGGGCACGCTGCCAGTAAAGCGTTACAGTAGTCGAGCCTTGAGGTGACAAACGCGTGAATGAGTTTTTCCGCGTCACTTTTAGGAAGGAAATTCCTAATTTTAGCGATGTTCCGTAAGTGGAAGTACGCCGTTTTAGTTGCTTGGCTTACATAAGCCTTGAAGGAGAGTTCTTGGTCAAAAAATGACTCCAAGATTCCTCACAGTGTTACTGGGTATTATACTGACATTATCGAGAGTAACCATCTGGTTAGTGAGGGAGTCACGCAGGCGCTTCGGACCGAGTAGGATCACTTCTGTCTTCTCCGGGTTGAGAAGTAGGAAGTTAAGAGTCATCCACATTTTAAGGTCCTTTATGCAGGCACTGAGCTTTTCTAGCTGATCTGTCTGATTAGGCTTCATCGACAGATAAAGCTGTGTGTCATCTGCATAGCAGTGGGAATTAATTCCATGCTTTTTAATAATGTTTCCCAGTGGCAGCATGTAGAGAGTAAAAAGAATCGGTCCGAGTACCGAACCCTGCGGCACACCGAATTCCACTCCAGAATAAGGCGACGAGTCCTGATTCACATTGACGAAGTGATATCGATCTGATAAATAGGATTTAAACCAGCCAAGGGCTGTTCCTCTAAGACCTATATCACATTCTAGCCTCTGCAGTAGAATGCTGTGGTCTATTGTGTCAAATGCAGCACTAAGGTCCAGTAGGACCAGCACTGACACTTGTCCATTATCGGCAGCTAGTAGTAAGTCATTTGTGACTTTGACTAGTGCCGTTTCAGTGCTATGATGAGCTCTGAATCCTGATTGAAAGACTTCAAACATATCATTTTCCTGCAGGTGGCAGCGGAGCTGCTCAGCTATAAGTTTTTCCAGGATTTTAGATATAAAAGTGAGGTTTGAGATCGGTCTGTAGTTTGTAAGTATTTCTGGGTCCAGGTTTGTTTTCTTCAGAAGGGGTTTGATTACCGCGGTTTTAAAAGCTTGTGAGACATAGCCACATTGTATGGATGCGTTTATTATATTTACGATAGGCTCAATTATCAAAGGAAGTATGTCTTTGAAGAGCCATGTCGGGACTGCGTCTAACATGCAAGTTGAGGCTTTTGAGGATGTGACCACAGAGATCACCTCTGCTTGGCTCACAGCCATGAATTTATTAAGGCCCACTGAAGAGTCTAAGTGGGAAGTCACGTATGCCGCTTCAACCTGTCCACCACTAACAGCAGGAGCAACCTCCTCCAGCTTGTCACGGATGGATGTAATTTTATTATTAAAGAAGTGGAGAAAGTCGACACTGCTCAGTGAGCTTGGAATTTTAGGCTCGATTGCGCTATGGCAGTTTGTGAGTTTAGCGACGGTACCAAACAAAAATCTACTGTTGTTTTTATTCGCTTCTATTAAAGTTGAATAGTATTGAGTTCGAGCCCCGCGAAGGGCCTTCTTGTAGTTTCGGAGACCTGCTTTCCACTCCCTGTGGACAGGCTCCGAGTGGGAGTGGCGATATAGCCTCTCCAATTTTCTGACGTCCTGTTTTAAAGTGTGGAGTTGAACACTGTACCAGGGCGACGATGATCTAATCCTAATGGTTTTCTGTTTTAAAGGAGCTGCTGCATTTAATGCAGATTTTAAAGACTCCATAGTGTTGCCCACCGTTTGGTCAATGACTGAGGGACTGCAGCTGCTGTGAACAGGTTCACCTGCAGCAGTATTCAACATAGGCTGTATTAGTTCTTTGAACCTTGTGATAGATTTATCATTTAAGGTTCTTTTCATTATGGTTTTATCTTGCGGGACAGGAAAGTCCTCCAAAGCGAGATCAAACGTGATCAAGAAATGGTCAGACAGCAACGAGCTTTGACGCTGGATGTCAACATTGGAGACATCACAGCCGTAGGTCAGGACAAGGTCCAAGGTGTGGTTATGAATGTGAGTAGGTTCCTCGACATTCTGAGTAAAACCAACACCATCTAGTACGGCGCTGAAAGCTTTGTTTAAGCTGTCAGTGCTGTCGTCCACATGTATATTGAAGTCTCCAGCTATAACTATGTTTTCCCATTCCAAAACTAGGTTTGAAATGAAGTCAGAGAATTCTGTTAGGAACTCGCTGTAAGGACCAGGAGGTCGGTATAAAACTATAAATAGTACTGCTTTTTGTTTTCTCCACCCAGGACAGGTGATTGAAAGTGTTAAGTTTTCAAACGAGTGAAAAGCGTTGTTGGTTTTGGGACTAAGAACCAAGTTGGTGTGTGATATAATCGCAACACCACCGCCGCGACCTGTAGCTCTGGCTTTCTGGTAGTTAACATGCGTCGGAGGAGTGCACTCATTCAATCTGACGTAGTCGTCCTGTTGGAGCCAAGTCTCCGAGAGCGCAAACAGATCCAAGCCCTTGTCTATAATAAGTTCGTTTATGAGAAGCGATTTAGACGAGATTGATCTGACGTTCATTAAACCACATTTAACAACCCTACCGCTAGAACTATTTCTGTCTGTCTGAACTTTTATTAAGTTACTGTGTCTGACACCTAGGTCAGATTTCCTCGCATATAGTGCTTTAGACTTCAAGCGGGGAACACACACGGTTTCAATCTGACTAGGTTCTGAGGCTAGTAACTGAGCACACACAGGCACACACACACATGCACACACAGTTTCAATCTGACTAGCTTCTGAGGCTAGTAACTGAACAGATGGGGGCTCAGAGGTTGTGGCAGAGCAGCTCTGCACCCGGGCCTCAGTTCTGCATCGTCATTTGAGCCGAGCAGAACAGTTTAGAGCCAGGGCCAAATTCTTAGCCAAAAGGGATGTACCCGCCAACGTTGGGTGGATATCATCCGAGCGGATGAGACCGGGCTTTCCCCAAAAGGCACTCCAATTGTCAACATGAACAACACCACTTCGAGGGCAC